AGAGAGAGAGAGGGAGGGAGGGAGGGAGAAACACACCATCAACGAGGGGTAGAGAAAAGGGACATAAGTGCATGTGCGATGGGGCATAAATAATCGAGAGGCCCAACTCAGCGGGACGCACCGCGGTACCACACACACACACACACACACACACACACACAAATACGCACACACACAGACCGACACGTAGGCACGCGTAGAGAAGGCATATCGCTGCGTCCGCCTCGCCAACTAGAACGGAAAACCGAAACAAACCGTGCGGAATTCCCCAGGCAGAGAGTCAGAGGCTGCGATTGAGAGAGAATCAGTAAGAAGACTATTGCATTCCATTCTTTTCTATTGGTTTCCTATTTCCTATTCCTTCACTTGCCTTCTTCCCATCCACGCGCTCATGCGCTCTTCCTCCCCGTGCATTGCATTGCTGATACCGGACGCACTACACACCCGTGTGCGGCGCGTCACGTGCCGACGACGACCATCCACGTCATGAAGAAGTAAAAGAGGCCAACGGGGTACACGACGAGCATCTCGCGCTCAGGCACGACGGAGCCGCGGAAGAAGCGCAGCNCGTCATGAAGAAGTAAAAGAGGCCAACGGGGTACACGACGAGCATCTCGCGCTCAGGCACGACGGAGCCGCGGAAGAAGCGCAGCGCAGCCCAGCAGGACCACAACCACACCGCAGCGGAGACGCCCAGCACCACCCAGAAGGTGCTTATGACGAGCGCGACCAGGGCGCCGACGCACAGCGGCGCGAGGCAGTAGCCCATCACGCACACAGTCTGGAAGAAGGAGACTTTGCTGCCAAGGAACTTCGCGTTGAGCGTCACAACGGCGGCGCCAACCCACACCAGCACGAACACCGCTGAGAAGATGAGGCCACCTTGGCTCGTCGACGCCGAACCGGCGAGGATGATGGCGAGCAACAGGCAGAGCAGCAGCGGGCCCCAGAGGTCCCAGTCGCGCAGCTCTCTTTCCTCCGCCAGCGGTGGCGCAACAACAATGAGCAGCTTCCGCCCAATCGCGACCGTGTCACGGATGATGGTATTCATGATGGGCTCATCCAGCGTAGAGTACACGGGCGCGGGTATCTCAGCGTTCTGATCCATGATTTTCCTATGCGTATGCGTGTGGGTGTGTATAGATATGTACCTTACGGCCCTTGGGGCCTGTTTTTGTTTTTTGAACTTGGTCGGTGATGTATTCTTGGTGGTGTCAAGGGCCCTATCGTCCCTTGCGCACTTCTTGGCTTCGTACCGAGGAAGAGTGCGAAGCGAGGAGGCAGCGTGAGAGAAAAGGCGAAGCAACCGAAGCTAAAACGACAAAAAAAAACAATTACATGCTCACCGCTGCTGATACATATTCGCACCAGACAATATGGATGACTTCGTCCGCCAAAAACAACAAGAACCACAATTAGAGCGGTAATGAGAAGACAGATGATACGTTATTCCCCGTCGGCAGCAACTACTGACGCGCATCGCGACTCCCGCACGGAGGCCAAATAATCTGCTCGCTGCTGCAGCGCCTGCATCTCCTGCTGCCGCCTTGTCTTCCGCCCGTCGTTACCAACAGCAGCGATGAGCAGGATGACTAGCAGCGCCAGAAACGCCGGGAAGACAATGAAAGACCACTCCACCTCATTGAATTGCAGAGTGATCGCCTCGAACGAGAGTGTTCGGCCACGTTTGCCGGCGCTGTGGAACAAATCGTTCGTCTGCTGGAAGCGGCGTCGGCGGGCCCAGGCGTACTTCTGTGTGTCAACTATATCCATGCTGTTCCAGCGGCTCCTTGCGGAGCTCGTGAGTGCCCGCTTTGCGACGCCCACGATATCCCGCCATCCTCGACGCGGCATATCTACAGTTTCTGTTTTTTTCACCGCGCTTGTTGTTGCTGTTGTTGTTTCTGCTGGCGGTGATGACGCTGCAGTTGGTTCGCGCCCGCGTGAGGCGCACCTCCGCGACGGGCGCAGCAGGCCAACAGGCCCTGCCACAACTGCCCTCCTACCGCATCGCCTCATCAACGACGTGCGATCTGAAAGGAGGGAAAACGAGAGACCGAGGGAGAGACATGGGTGCTGAAGGTGCGGGTCAGGAGTAATAACAGCAGCAAGAGTGGCACCCCGCCGTATTGCGATTTACACCGAAACAGAATTCGCGGCTCCCGGGTGCTCTTCTTCAACACCGACCACTTCACGCCTCCCCACTGCTCCCAGGACCCACCGCATCTCACCCCCACTCGCTGCACTCAACGAAACATGCTGTCGTCGTTGGAAGATTGTCGCGTGATGTACGTCATGTATGCTGTGATGAGCACGAGGAGGATACAGATGGGGATGGAGGGACCAAGGGTCGGCTTTGGCTTCGGCCGAAGTCGCCGTTTGCTCATGGTGAGTTTGCGCTGCAGGCCGATGGGTGTGGTGGCATAAGCGACGACAGGGAGCGGCCGCCACCGCCGCGTCGCCGTCACGGTGAAGAGGCGCAGCATGCCTGCAGTCATCTCGCCAACTCTTGCGGTCGGCCCAATCGCGAAACAAAGAAAGAGTACGTAACTGGGAGAGGGAGAGCCACAAATATATATTTATACAAACACACCAATACGCGCGCGCACACACACACACA